CCCCAAAACCCCAAAACCCCAAAACCCCATGAGACAGTGTTTAATCCTATTGAAGAATATTAAGGAAAAATATGTATATAAGATAAGTATTCAAACATATTATATAGAATAGGCTGTGAGGTAATGAATCAATCATCATTATAAATCTTTTTGACTTGATAGTTGTTATAATTGCTTTATTTTATTTAACAATGCAATATTATTACTAATAGGCTCATTGAATTACTGTTGAGGAATTGAATTAAAGTTCTCTTTCTTGACACATGATTAAGACTGTGGTTAAGGTCTAATTACTTAGTTATTGCAGGCCAATTGTGAAGCTTAAATCACATGCTACTGCTATGCAGCTAAACCATTCAACAGACTAGTTAGTTGACTTAACTGATTTTAGTTTGTAGCCTGTGAGTTGCTTTAAGGAAGCGACATTGGCGGAATCACCTATGATTAGGGCGGGGAAATCTGGGAGAACAAACTAATCAATTGATTATTGCTCATTCCTAGGTTGGGATTAGGCTAGCTTATAAAACTTTATTGGGTTTAAGCTGCTATCATTTGCTGAACTGGAATCTGCTTTATTAAAGGTTTGTTAAAAAGTTCATTGTTAGCAACTAACTCAGTCAAAATTTTTTGTAAATTCATAATCTCATTAATCAAGATGAGCATGCGCTCCAAGATTGAGTTGCCAGTGGTTGTCTGCTAAGAGTTATCAATAACTTATGTGACTATAGGGCAGGTTATTGATCAAAAGTTAACTTACTTTAATTGATTATAGTAAGTTTTTAAGATAATTTCTGGATATCATTTAATAATTCTTGAATGATACATAGATATTTTCTACCATCACTAAAAAGATCTACTCTATCATTTTAGTAGATTTCTGACATCAGATTCTCTTTCCTTTTCACTAGTTCATAGAACTGACCTTGAACCATTTTTTTCTATTTCTTAAATTAGATAGAGTTTAATTCTTACCTCATTGCTTAAAAAGAAATTATTAGAGCTTGAATTCTAAGACATTTAAACTGGTATTATTTCTGATCTTTATTGGAAAATAATGGCTGATTTATTTATGGGTGATTCATTAGTGTTTTAGTTTTCATACAATTTGAGGAGCTACTCTGTATCTAGGCTCTTGTCAGTACTTAGGTTATGTGAGCCTCGCTTACTATTTATTATATCATTAGTACTTAGTTTCTGACGCTTTACTATTGTTGAAGCAGATGTGAAATCGTCATCGTCTTCATTTTGATCTTTTTGAGATCCGTCTTCATAAAGTGATATTGCTTGACGGAAAAGTTCAAGACCGCGTGTGGTGTTGCATTGATCTTCGGTTTGATTGAGGTAGTCAAGTGCATCAGAGTTCTTTAACTTTTTCTAGATTCTTATGAAGTATTTCTGGGCATGAGATCTGATCTAGGCACCTGATCTTGTCTCTACGAAATCCTCCACTTTCCTCCAATCTTTGCCGAACAATCTTATCGCTATATCATTAAAGATTTAAGATATGAAAGATATGCGATAAATCTTCTTACCTTATACGAACTTTTTGTGCTCTTCCTTGGTCCACCTTCCAGCAGTCTTTCCCATGAGTTGTGCTTATGTCACTTTTTTCTTCTTAGAAGATAGATCCCCTTGTTTTTGATCATTAAGACCAGAACTGCTTTCAGGAGTCCTTGAATCACTTGAGAAATCTTAGCTAATCTCTTAGATTTACGTATTTTATTAGTTAATTTGAAGATCTTATTAATCTTTTGGATTTTAGTTTTGGGCGTTAATTTTTGCCGCTAGTTTGTCACCAGAGGAGAAATTTTATCCCAAAATGAAAGATTCGCTAAAGGTTCGCTTTCTGCCAACAAAGTTGCCATTTGGAGATGGATTTATGTGTTAAAACTTATCTTATTCTAGAATTTGGATCTATAAGGAATGAGTTAAGCATATGAAAAGCAATAGTATTAAAGCATACGTTCATCTAGTTATCAGACTATACTTGAAAATAAAGACTATATTAATAAATCCTATTTAATAATATATTTTAACTAAAGACGTCAGCTTTAAACATATAACTTAAATATCATAATTAGAGATATGAGAATATCTTAATATTTTTATCTCAATTTTAATAAATATATTGATATTAAAGATTTGCGATAAGCCTACTAGTCTCAAATTAATTTACGTCACGCACTAAAAGCTCAACCCGCCAATCTCTAATACCCTATTTGTTCATTGTTCCTGAACTAATATTTCACCTAATGGCCTCAAAATGCCTGGAGCAGGTCTTAGCGCGTTTGGGCTACGCTTGAATGTTCTAAGTTTCTAATCTAGAGATCTAAATTTAGATATAACAGATTTAGGTAAAGACATCGTATTAAGATTTCTATCTGTATCATTTATCATTTTTCTGTCACTTAAGCCGCCTCCACCAATTTGAGCCTTTATTTCTGAATCAATATGGTTATTTATTGTTTGGAGTCGTATTCTATTACTTGAATTATTGATTTGCTCTAATTTTAGAGGTTTTTAAGAATTTCCTTTAGAGCGGGCTGTGATCACCGCCTGATTATTAAATTTTGGCATGTTTGGCCCTCCTATCGAAGATTTGACATTCAAATTGTGAAGAAATTTCTCGGTTTACCTTGTTGAGCTGTCCTCAGCATCTTCTTATTCCGCGTCCTCTCGCATCATTAACTCGCTCCTGTTTTAGGCTTATCTAAGCATTTCCAAAGAATTTTAGGAACGATCATGATTAGCCACGGAGCTTAATCTATGATGAGTCCGTTCCAAATACTTCAACACTTCATCTTTCTGATTAATATTATTGGAGATGCTTGGATCATTCTAAATATGAGATTTTTTTAGTTGGCGAAGGTAGCCAGGCATCACTCGCAAGCCAACAGCAAGCGTTTAATTATTTCCATATGTTTCATCTTAAATGGTAATATTTTAATAATTTGAGAGGTCCCTAGAATGACTCTAAATGTAATCATATTACTTAATATTAGCGCTAGAGTAACTATCATTAATCTACTCTGGCAAATACAATCCTAAATAGTCTCTTGCCTTAGAAGACTCTATTTTCAATATATTAAGAAAAGATATGTTTTTTACCTTTCTATTTAGGGAGTCCAAAATCTTATTTCCTTTTATCTTAGGTTATAGTATTGAAATTAATCTGCTTATTGATATTTATGATAATGTTGCTATTTTAATGAGACCTTTCTCTTTAATTATCATATTTGTCCTTTACATCAGCAGTATTTGTGAAACTTTTTCTCTGTATCCTTGATTTTACCTTAACCTCATCAATTGAATCCCTCTTATCATTTGATTTTATAGCCTAATTTTTCTTGCTCGTAGTCTAACTTATGATTGTTTTAAGACTTTACTTGGCTTATTACTAGACATTATTGTCAGTCTCCTCAATTAGATAGTTCTGATTCACATAATTTTCGAGACTTTCTTCTCTTTCTAGAATTTTGCTGGGCATTATAGAATGATTTGAAGTTTGGAAATTGAAACTTCATTCTTAAAGAGACTTTTCAGGTGAGTTTGTGTGAGTTTTAGTCTTACTTGGGGAGAGAGTCATTGCTTGAATGTTATTTTATCATAATTATGTCTTGAGTGAGTTATTCTAAAACGATTAAATTAATCACTTTTACAATAGAGCTATTTGATGAAATTCCTGATAATAACTGATTTTTAACACTAGATTGATCTTTGAACGGGGAAATTTCACCATTTAATGAGCCATTTATTTAAGTATTGACATCGACACTTAAGTTTAAAGACTCTACTAGATCCCTAACGCATCTTGAGAATCAAGGTGGGAGATACTTAAAACTGTCCATAACGTTGATTCTCTCATATATTTTTTGAAAATATCTAATGAATCTGCTCTCGTCACACTATTCTACTTGAGTTAAGCTTATAAAGGTACCGTTTTTTATATATTTGACAAGTCTGAACTGAAGCAAATAGATCATGTTATAGAGATATTTGTTGTAAGACGATTCTTGCTCTCTCTTTGAAAAGCCACTATAAATTGACATTAATAAATATTTCTGTTTAAAATTTAACATCAACTCTAAATCATTCTCATGGGGTTTTGGGGTTTTGGGGTTTTGGGG